GAGGGCTGACCTGTGAAACTTCAGGAATGACGCTAAACCAGGCCTAGAGGTGTGCAGGTTATAGCCAATTAGAGCCTTTAACCGACTTCTTGTATAATTAGACTTAAGAAACAATAGATATAGATGCATATATATATATACACATATACATATATATAAACAAAAAAAATATATATATATATACATACATACATACATACATACATACATACATATATATATATATATTTATATTTATATTTATTTATTTATAGACCCTGCATCGCGCAAACCTCGCTGGTTTTGTCGGAATGTTGCAGGTCTGCACGCTGATGGCAGGAGAACTTGGGCCGGCGGAGACCGCGGCCTTCGCCTTGGTCCTCGGAATTGAAATTTAGCAAAGAGGAGGAGAAGAGGGAGAAGGGAGTGTGGAGGGATTCGTGTCAGGGATTTCTGGTACGAAAATTATTATGATTATGACTACGATTCTTATTATTATTGTTATTATTGTGCTTCAGAGGTCATGAACTTGCTGATTGTGGGCTTCCTCTACTCGGTGGCCATGGGCGACGCCGTTGGGATCCGCATGTCCAGACGCCTAGGAGAAGGCCAGCGAACCATCGAATCGAGAGAGTTCGAAGAGACGTGCTGAAGTGATGTGTGCATCCTGCCATCTAGGCAAGCCGAAGGAGGCAGCCTTTGTAGCTCGCATTGGTTTGCTTGCCGCTTGTCCCCATATGTTGCCGGATTCCGAGATTGACAGTCGCAATGGGAGCGCATTTCGCGGACGAGTATCGAGACACGGGGATGGTGACCAAGCTTCGGATCAATTCCCCTAGTTGCAGCGGCAGCCTCCCTGTTGCCGTCGGGGGACTTTGTTTTCATGTAAACGTTTAGTCCTTCAGCTGGATGGAGCTGAGGCTTCCCTCGCAGGCAACGTGGTGATTGCGACGCTGTTTCTTTGCGCTGCTGGCGTTCAAGTTCATTGTGTTTCGTGTTCGTCTAGGCTGTTGAAGTCTTTGTTGTGCACGTAGCTAGTCGTAGTTGATCTTTGGTGAGTGAAGGCTGCATGCACTGGCAAAGGCCGGGAGCGCCATTGTAAACGTGGCATCGCCAGATCTCCAGGTGCAGCAGCTTATGATGCAGCACGTCAGCACTGCCTGCAAAGTCCGTGCAGGGATCGTCCTCACTCTGACCCAACGGTGTGGCTTTCTGAATTCGACGAAGCGCCGTGACGTGCTCAGGAACCTTCGCTGGTGTGGCGCCACGGCCGGATCCAACTCACTGATCACCTTTGTTTCCTGTGGTGCGAGGGACCCTGAAGTGACTGCAAGGTGCCACAACGATTGCCCTGCTTGGGGTGGCGCTACCCCTCATCGCTGTTCTCAATAAGCAAGGACAGCACGTATCGACCCCCGTTGTGAACCACACCGACATGCTACTCACGCTACTATCTGTGAACAAAGATACCATGATACAGCATGCTTAGCGCGTGTGATTTAGTCAAAGTGTACGGTACAACATGCTAATGCTGATCGGTGGGATGTCATTGCTTGATACATCGCGGCGCAGAGTGTCCGCAGCAGGACGTGCAAAGGTCCCATCTGCCATTCTCCCTGTGCCTGGGATGCATTGTTGTTCTGAGTTCCTGTGGAAAGCAGATGGATGTTGAGAAACGGCAAACGCATCGGATTGTGAGGCCTTACATGCCTTCTTCTTTCCTGACAGGAGTCCTTACTCAGTGCGTCTGCTGAGGTTTGCTGCTGGATTCTCGGCTTTCCATGCAGCTACTTCCTCAGCCGCTCGGAAGGCTCGCGGGAATCATTGGTAAAACTCTTGCTGTGCGTCGTTGGCCGGGGCTGTATCATCCTGTGACCCTAGGCCGCACTCCTTTCGTCCCTGTGTTTTAGCCACAAATCGGGAGGTGAAGGAAGGCCGCGCTCCTTTCACGCTTCTGTTTTGCCCACAAATCGGCAGGAGAAGGAAGGCCGCGGTCCCTTCACCCTTCGGTTTTGGCCACAAATCGAGAGGTGAAGGAAGGCTGCGCTCCTTTCACCCCTCTGCGCTCCTTTCACCCCTCGGTTTTGGCTGTCTTTTCATCGGTTTTGGCCACAAACCGATAGGTGAAGGAACTTTCACCCCTCGGTTTTGCCCACAAATCGAGAGGTGAAGGAAGGCCGCGGTCCTTTCACTCCTCGGTTTTGGCCACAAACCGAGAGGTGAAGGAAGGCCGCGCTCCTTTCACTCCTCTGGTTTGCCAACAAGCCGGGAGGTGAAGGAAGGCCGCGCTCTTTTAACTTTTCCGTTTCGGCCACAAAACGAGAGGTGAAGGAAGGCCGCGGTCCTTTCACCCCTCGATTTTGGCCACAAACCGAGAGCTGTCCTTTCACCCCTCGGTTTTGGCCACAAATCGAGCCGCACTCCTTTCACCCCTCAGTTTGGCCACAAACCGGGAGGTGAAGGAAGGCCGCGCTCCTTTCACCCTTCTGTTTTGGCCACAAATCGAGAGGTGGAGAAAGGCCGCGGTGCTTTCACCCTTCGGTTTTTGCCACGAACCGAGAGGTGAAGGAAGCACGCGCTCCTGCCGCTCCTTGGTTTTGGCCGCAAACCTAGCAATGCAGAGCGGTGCTTCTGTACAGAAGTGTGGTCTCCAACAACATGGGAATTCTCTCGCAAGTTAGCGCGTCACACCTTTGTAATTGATCTTTTTGCCTTTCGCTTGTCTTGTTTTCTGATTTTCGACCGCCCTGTTTTCTGATCCGGTGTTTTCTGATATTGTCCGTCTGTTTTCGTCTTTTCTGATATTGTCCGTCTGTTTTCTGATTTTTGTGCGTCCGTTTTCCTGATTTCGGCTGTCCGCTTTCTGACTCTGTTTTCTGATTTGGTCTCCGTTTTCGAATTTGTTTTCTGATTTCCCCCGTACCCGTCGGAGTGGCTTGCTTGAGCTTTTCCTCCTCGAATTTAGTTGGCGATGCCAACTTGACGTCCGCGCACTCCTTGCCGAAGGTATCACCGTTCCACGTTTTACTGGTGACTAATGGCTTTGAATCGCTATGTGTGTCATTCTTGGTCCATCCCACTGCGATGTCGACGGCAACGACGACGCGTACGACGATGGTAATTGCGACAAAAATGCCGATGGTCTTTTGCTACGAATTCTCTTGTCCCTCTGAATCGCACCGCTCATTTTTGGCTGAGATAGCAGCAAATGTCAGGTGGCGACTCTAGTCTATCAATCAGTATGCAACTGGGCGGACCTATGCCTTCCTGCCAGGTGTCACAGGCATTTGCGAGGGCCTGATGATCGGCTACGCACTCGCCTCTTTGTCATGAAACTGTGTGGACGGGTGTTTTCTCTCCGGTTGATGAGCCTGCTCGATTCCCTCACCTGCTCTCCAGGCCACCATTTGCCTGTTCTTTTTCTTCTTCCGTTCCAACTGGGAGAAGCTGACCCAAGAGGCGTCTGAGCGTTCCGAAGTCCAGGAGCAGGCCTCCTGAGCATTCTCGTCCTCGGGCCTTTAGGCGCGAGAGGCAGCGACAGGAGCCAAAGATGCTTCTTAGAACCGCAGTGCATTTCCTGCGAAGCAGGCTGTGGTGGATGTGTGGAGCGACCTCGCCAGTAAACATCATATATGTATGCACGTATAGACGGGAATCGACAAGTGTAATTACATGATGCGTGTCGCATCGTCTGCTCGTTTGCGTTTCGGACAGCTGTAGAATGTCGCAGGCTGCGTGCAGAGAATCGCAAGTTCACGAACCGGCTTTGCGGATTGCAGCTGGAGGCGCCGGATCGTTTCATTGCGTGGCTGTGCTTGAGAAGCGATTCAGAGAGCTCGGGATTGGCACTAAATTCTGTCAGGTGGAGAGCAGAAGCAATGCCTTCGACACCTTTAGCTGGGTCACGGAGGCCAACCCATGAGAGCTCTCGGAGGTTGTGGAAAATGTTAACTTGCCAGTTGCGATTTGATGCACAAGTATGCCGATGTCTGCATATGGGATAAACGTATGTGAGTTTGTGTCTGTGTGTGTGTCTGTGTGTCTGTCTGTCTGTGTCTATATCTGTGTGTCCGTGTGTCGGTGTGTTTGTGTCTCCCCGCCCCTCCCCATCCCTACCCCCCTCCTCCATCCCTCCATCCCTCGCCTATATACATTGACATACACATGACATTCACTACATCTACATGTACATATGCGGCTAGGTAGACACGCAGATATACATATATGTATATATATCTATATACACATACACGTACACGTACACATACACATACACATACACATACACATGCGTACGTATGTACATGCGTATGTATGTTTGTATATACACAGTTATATCAGTGCTCATATATATATATATACACATACATCGACATTAACATAATGATACATATACATATACATATGCATATGCATATGCATATGCATATGCATACATGCAGCATCTGGGTTCGAGCGTTGAGCAAATCCGTCCCTCGCCCCCCCGTTCTACTTCAACAGCAATGGCGAAGTCGACGAAATCTAAACACGAATCTTCC